ACACACACACACACACACACACACACACACACACACACACACACACACACAGAGACAGAGAGAGAGACACACAGAGAGAGAGACAGAGAGACAGAGACAGAGAGACAGAGAGAGAGACAGACACACAGAGAGAGAGAGTGAGAGAGAGACAGAGACAGAGAGACAGAGAGAGAGAGACAGAGAGAGAGGGGGAGAGAGAGAGAGAGAGTGAGAGAGAGAGAGAGACAGAGAGAGAGACAGAGAGAGAGGGGGAGAGAGAGAGAAAGAGAGAGAGACAGAGAGAGACAGAGAGAGAGAGAGACACACACAGAGAGAGAAAGAGACAGAGAGAGAGAGGGTGAGAGAGAGAGAGACAGAGAGAGAGAGACAGAGACACACACACACAGAGAGAGAGAGAGAGAGAGAGAGAGAGAGAGAAAGAGAGAGAGATGAGAGGCTGATAAGCTAGAACAGTTAAAATGGCTTGGAACTCTGAAATACTACGTGACAGCTGCTTCCCAAGTCTCCTGGAAACCAGGTTACCTCCCATCAGCACCTGCTCCTGGGCATCCAGGACAGTTGGTCATACCCCCAAGGATGCCTTGGGTACCATACATCTACCTGCCTCCACTATTTCCACTGCAGCTATGGCAGGTGGGCATTTGCTGAGTCAAGCATGATGGGTAGGCAGGGCTTCGCACTGTGACTGACAGGAGGTGTGGGAATCAGGATAGGAGGAAGCATGTGATCTCTCCTGTCCGATTCATCACAGGGAGGCTGGGGTGGGGGCACAATGGTCACAGGCTCTGAGGACCCACAGGAGGCCCAAGGACAACATTGTCCTTGATGGCCGAATTCTATAAATGAATCTGCCACTCGACATGCCACTACCTTATCTTAAGATACTCTCAGGGACATGAAACTGGCTAGAGGTAGGAAGAGTGAACAGAGGACAGAGTTCCCCACAGTCTTGGCCTTGGTGGGGTACAGATAGCCCAGAGACCCAGAGGGAAGGAATTTGAGAGGGAGTAAACAAACTGGAGAGGGAAATATTAAATTTTTATATTGGATTAGCATTAAATATTAAAAATTGATAAATGCTAAAAACATAAAGTAAAAATGTTCAAATATTGTCTTTTCAAATAATTTTGGCCATACATCTTTTTTTTTTCTAAAGAAAAAGACTTATCTATTTTATATGAGTACACCATTGCTCTCTTCAGACACACCAGAAGAGGGCATCAGACCCCATTGCAGATGGTTGTGAGCCACCATGTGGTTGCTGGGAATTGAACTCAGGACCTTTGGAAGAGCAGTCAGTGCTCTTAACCACTGAGCCATCTCTCTAGCCTGACCATATGTCTTAATATATGCACTCTGGCCAGAGACTGTGGTACCCTGGAGCCCTAGCACTGGGGAAGCTGGAGTTCAGAGGCAGTCTGGGTCACATGGTACATCTCAGGCCAACCTGGTCCCAGGCAACTCTGTCTCAAAAACAAAACACAACACACTCTGTATATCCATGTCATAAGCCTAGTGATGAACTCATATCAAGACACTTGAACTTCCCAGTGCCACCAGGGACTCTAGGAGCCACCAGGCTCTAGGTCACAGTAATCTTGCCGCAATGAC